CGACTGCCTCCAAGATAATACAATCCCTAGACTTGTGGGACCGACTAAAAGAAAAATTAGATCTTTCCTCTGTGGCGGAACCGCTGCCAGTCCGTGAATTGCCTTGTTCTTTTCAAGTATTTCCCTTGTATTTTCGTGTGTTTGGCCCCCGTTCGGGAGCGTCAAAACAAAGGGATTTCATTCACCTCCTGAACGGGGACTACCCCAATCCCTCATTTAGAATGTTAGGTTAGACTCTTCCCACCTCGCAACCTAAGTGTCAGACTGCAAGGGAAACAATTCATGAGTGCTTCCCTGGGTGGCTGCCGTTCGTGTAAGCGAACGCCACCATGGGGAGCATTCATGGATTGTTTACCACCTTGTTCGTTTCTCAAACGAGGACCTTCCCAGTGCCCCATTAAAATGTTCACACCAATTAATCAGAATATTCGCACTCACAACATAGGTGTGTAATTAATGAGTGCTTCCCTTGGTGTCCACCGTTCGGATAGACAAATGCCGGCCAGGGGCAGCATTCATACCCCAAACAGAGATGCTTCCCTTGTCTGGGTTTCACACCAGGACCTCACAAATGAGGACTACTCAATTGAGGGATAGAGGCGAGGCTTTTGTGGCACTGGCGGGTTTGGCGGGCTCTTGTGAGCCTGAGGGACAAAGAGGCCAGCTCTTTTCCCGTGGGCGGACTTTTCTGTGCCTGGGAAGAAGACCCTTGGCGGTTGGTGTGGGAAACCCTGTGGGTTTAGTGGTGGGCTTTGGGGAAAAATGGAACAGAGTCCCTTCCCGTGCTAGGCACCCAGGGAGGGGGAGGATCCTGGATGGTGACATTGTATGTTTTGTGTGATACACCCCTTGCAGATGGTTATGCATAAAAGCTGTGTGTCGCCAATAAAATGTTGTTGTACCTCCAGGACTGTGTCTTCCAGTTATTGGGGGAAAACAGGTTTCTTGATATTCTAAGTGGTTCCTGACCGGCTCAAGGAGGGACTAGCAGAGGTAACCGGTCGGGTTACTGGTGGTCCGCTACATCCTCATACCTGTCCCTGCTGACTCCTATATTACGAAGCAAACTGTTTCCAACAGGCTTTACTCTGAAACTAGGTTCGCTAGGTTCGAAGAGAGGGACATTACAAGATTGGGGAACCTTTATCAAAACAACCGTATTATCAAATTTAACGATTTCCCAGACACTTCCAATCTCACTAGTTTTGACCTTTTCAGGTACATGCAGCTGCGCAGCTTTGCATCCCCACTCATCATTCAACAAGCTGGTAGAGCCCCACTTACTATATTTGGGGGGTCACAGGTTGTGCTGGCCTGCTCTAGGACATGGCAGTGAAGATCTATATGATTACTATATTATATGACAATCACAACAGTACATCCACTTTAATCAAATCATAAGGATGTTTTCCTCGTATTAGAAACTAGGAGCAACTCTTATTAGAAACTAGGAGCAAGTAAACAAAGAGAGTTTTTTTATTTGTAAATATGTTTGGTTTTTCTTTCAAGGCTGTCTCTTTTTAAAGAAACATTGCTCATCTTAAGTGTGGTGGGGGTCCAGTGCACCAGAGCATACACAGCAACTGGCTGACCTATCTGAAACCAGCACCAATGTACCTCGGCGCTGGGTCAGGCTCGGCCCAACTAACACCAGTTAGTGGCCACTGGGCATATGTATGTATATTATATTATTATTATTAATATTATTAAGATTCACCATTCTAATTCCCTCAGCAAAGAAACCAAAAATGTTTGGAAGAATATGCTACAGGGAATTAAGGTACACTTAATCAAGATGGAAAATCAATGTTTTGTGTGTTGTTTTCCAAGTATAACTTTTTAAGTCAACTATATCTCTCATACCTATTTCACACATTTGTATATAAGTTATTTTTAGGGAGCTAAACGCATCTTAGTCAGGGTTCCCAACCAAGTCCTCAAGTAACCCCTACCAGTCCAGGATTTAAGGATTACCCTGTTGTCTAAAGTGTTTTTTTCTTAAAACAGTTTAGGACACATCTAAAATCCCCTGAATCCTGACTGTTAGGTGATATGCAGGGCCGGTGCTTCCTATAAGGCGAACTAGGCAGCCCCCATCGTCAGCCCTTTAAATGCTGCAGCCGCCCGAGCGCTCTGTAGAGAGCGCCCAGGCTGCTTCCGCACTGCCTCACCTCCCCTTCCCTGTAGCGTGGCCGAGCTCAGTGTGCACTTCCTGTCAGTACGGCCGGGTACAGGAAACAAACTCCTGTACCGCGGACCGGAGAGGAGCTCGGCCACACTACAAAGGGAAGGGGAGGTGAGGAGAAGATTACAGGGAGGGAGGGGGATTGGAGGGGGAGTGGAGAAGATTGGAGGGGGGAGTAGAGAAGAAGAGAAGATTACAGGGAGGGAGGGG